TGTGTGTGTGTGTGTGTGTGTGTGTGTGTGTGTGTGTGTGTGTGTGTAGAGCGACCTTATATATTAAATAAGAGTTTGATTCAACTAGTCTAAGTGGCCATCTTGCTCCAGGCATCCCCTGTCTCTGTTCCTAATTACTGGGACTTCAGGCAAGCCACTACACCTGCCCAGCATTCGTGTAGATGCCGGGGTTACAAACTCTAGCCCTCACTCTTGCATGGTAAGTGTTTTACCCACTGGGCTGTCTTCCCAACCCCTACCATTTGATAAAGATGCTGTTGTGGATATAAACATATTTTTGTTTTAATCCCAGATCTGGGATGGAGGGCTGATTCAGATGGTCCAGAGCCTCATGTGGACTCTGAGAGGAGCTCTTTGTCAGCTGCAGATAGTTTAAACCTGGGGACTCTGGAGAGAAAATAAAGGCCAGAGCCCAGAGAGTGTTGGGGGGGGGGTTGCTCCAAAAAAAGAACAAGGCTGCTCCCCTTCTCCCACTAACCCTTTCTCTCTTTTATCTGGTGTTGGGGTATTGGAAGGGTTTGGGGTCAGGACAGGAAGACATATATATATATATATGTCTTTATATATATATATATATATATATATATATATATATATATATATATATAAAGTTGTTGTGTGTTTTTTTTTTAAGTACAACAGCTATCTCTTCTCCATCAGGTGTCCTCGCTGTAATAAATCAGGTGGCTGTAGCTGTGTGTTCATGTTTTTTGTTTTGTTCTGTTTTGTCTTGTTTTTATCGGGCAAGGACTCCAAGCACTGTGAGATGGATCACCAGTTTGGAGCACTTGCAGAGGACCCAAGTTCATTTCCCAGCACCAACAACAACATCAGGTGGCTCAAAACTGTCACTCCAGATCCAGGGATCTGATACGCTTTTCTGGCCTCCATGGGTGTCAGCATGTGTATAGATATGCACACAGAGACATACACATAAACAAATAAACCTTTAAAAAAAAAAAAAAACCCAAGAAGTGTGACTGAAGAACATTCCAGTCTGCATTTTGCGGTATGCCCCTCCCTGTTTCTTGGCAAGTAGGCAGATGTTTCCAAAAAACTGAAAGATACAGGTTTCTCCCAGGCACAGGCTGCAGGCGCTCTCCTTCCATAGTGGGCACATTGTGTCCGCTGTTTTCGTGTTGATGCTTGTGAGATGCCCAGATCCCTGATTCCTGTCTAATGGATCAACAGGAACACACTAGAGAAATATCATGTGTGGTGTGAATCGAATACTTGGGAGGCTGAGGCCAAAGAATCACAAGTTTGGAGCCAACCTGGGCTCCAGAGCACAAACACGTCTCATAACAAACAACAAACAAACAAAAATAAAACAGCAAAAAAAAAAAAAAAATGTTAGGAACTGTAGAATGAGTAGCCACACAGTAGATCACTTCTTAAGGTCAGGGTTCATAGCAGAAACACCAGTAAAGCTTGAATTTTTCCTGTAACAAACATCTCGAGAGTTAGACATAGTTCCTTGCCTCCTTGGCCTCACCTCCATCTGTGAGGATTTAGTGCTAACCATGGTACTTATTGTCCTTAGACTTCATGCTGTCTCATCCTCGGCCAGCAGAAGTGTCCCCAGATTATCTCCCGCATCCTTTCACTATGAGCACAGTAAATGGACAACTTCCTTGCAGGGGAGATGACCAAATCTTCCTGCCTCCAGTCTACCTCCTGAATCAGCTACTTCTCTGAGAAGCTCCAGTTTCAGGGTCACGTCAACGGCGCCAAGAACACGTCACAGCTGAGTCGGCTTGGCTTGCCTACTGTTTGCATCCTCCTCCCTCCCCCTGAAAGAACAGAAGGGAAACTTTCCATAATTACTCGTGTGCTTTATCACAAATAACCCTACTATGTGCGTCACGACTACGGTGACTATTAAACACGGGTCCACACAGGAGGACCCTGCACACACTCTTTCAGCAGAAAGCTGGCAGCCTCAGAGAAGGCACGGGACATACAGAAACCACCTCAAGCCAACCAAGAAATGCCCTCCTGCTGGCCAGCTTTCAGAGGGCAAGCAGGTGCTGCAAGCTCTTACACACTAACCAGACTCAGCAGGCCACCCAAAAGAAAAAGAAAAAGAAAAAGAAAAAGAAAAAAGAAAAGGAGATGAAATTTTGGTAGAGGCATGTCAGGAGGGATATGGAGGGAATTAGAGGGGAAAGGAAGATATATATACATTTGTCTAGGGGCATGATTAGGGATAAAAGAAAAAAAAAGAAGGTGTAGCCAGCTGGGGGCTTCTGGTGATGAGCATGGGGAGGAGGGACTTCGGTACAGCGGTATGTAGAATGAGTGCTGGTCGGCCTTTCACAGGAGAAAACAGTCAGCACGTGATGAGCGTGTTCTTTGACCTAAGGCTGCAGCATGACAACTGGGAGAGCTGACACAAAAACTTTCAAGGCCGTGTTTTTTATCTTAAAATGTTCTTTATTTTTTGAGAATTCCATAATACAAATATCTATTATCTCTACTTTTTTTTAAAAAAAAATTTAATTTTAATTTTATTGTTATATTAATCACAGGATGTTTACTTTGTATCCCAGCCGTAGCCTCCTCCCTCATTCCCTCTCTACCCCACCCTCCCTCCTCATCTCCTCCCTGCCCCTTTCCAAGTCCACTGCTAGGGGAGGTCCTCCTCCCCTTCCAACAGACCCTAGCTTATCAGGTATCTCCAGGACTGGCTGCCATGTCCTCCTCTGTGGCCTAGCAAGACTGCTCCTCCCTTGGGGGTGGGGAGAGGTAAAGGAGCCAGTCATTGAGTTCATGTCAGAAATAGTTGCTATTCCCCTTACTAGGGAACCCACTTGGTTACTGAGCTACCATGGGCTACATCTGAGCAGGGGTTCTAGGACCATACATGGTCCTTGGTTGGAGAAACAGTCTCATAGAGCGCCCCTGTTCCCTGATATATTTTGTCCTTCTGAAGCTCCTGTCCTTTCTAGGTCATACTAACTCCGCCTTCTTTCATATGATTCTCTGTATTCAAGGTTTGGTTATAAGTCTTTGTATCTACTTTGATACACTGCTAGGTAGAGTCTTTCAGAGGCCCTCTGCGGTAGGCTTCTGTCCTGTTACTTGTTTTCTCCTACTTCCCCTGTCCATCCCATTTGTCTTTCTAAGTGGGGATTGATCATCTTACTCCGGGTCCTCTTTCTTGTTTATCTTCTTTAGGGGCACATATTTTAGTACGTTTATCCATCTTATAGCAATGGAATACTACTCAGCACTTAAAAAACAAGGAAATCATGAAATTTGCAGGCAAATGGTGGGATCTAGAAAAGATCATCCTGAGTGAGATATCCCATGAGCAGAAAGACACACATGGTATATACTCACTTATATAGACCGATAAGATAGGATAAACATGCACCTTCTCCTTAAGTGAATCCTGACAGAGGGCAGGGAAGCACACCCCACCCCACCCCCATTTCTGCACATCAGTGAGTTTGCGCCTTTTATGAAGGCGAGTCCCTCCCATCCGCCTGATATTCTTGGCTCACGCTTTCCTTCCTGAGGGAAGTTGAGTGTGTCACTCCACTGTCTTTGAGCAGAGAGCATGGGCTACAGAGAAGGCTGGTGGTAAGCTTCCTCTTCACCCAATGATTTGCTCTGGAGCCAAATCGCTTCACTCCCATAGACACCTTAGTGTCCTGGCTGAGTCCATACTCAGGATGCAATATGCACCCTTCCAGCTACAGAAGTTGAGGTGCTTTTTCTTGGATTTAGATTTTCAGCATTCTGATCCCTAGGTATTTGAAACACAAGAATTCTATCACCCTTGTCCAGGGCCTACTCCTCAATCCCCAGGCTTCAGCCTTTTTTTATCACTTACATTTTTAATGAGTATTTTTTTTTAATTTCTCCATTTAATTCAAGCTACCATCTGTATATTTGACTGCTTGATCTATGTTAGCCTTCATTTTTAAAATGGTTTGGTTTGGTTTCTAGTTGTTTCCTGGGTATTGTCACCTTGCTTCCAGGCCTTCCTACACCTCGGACCATTTCCATCAAGGCTGAGCTCCAGGGTTGGACAATGCTGTTTCTCCAGTTTTGTAGACTGAGCTTCACAGTAGAATCTCATTGCCTATATGGATCAGATTCTGCCTTGTTCTATTTTGTTATAACAATGTGAAGTATTTTACTTTCATCCTTTTCTGTTGTGGTGTTCATGCTAAATTCATGTTCCTAGCACAAGAAAGCATGCTTGTAACTTCACCATGCTTTGCCAGGCAGTGGTAAAGCAGAAACAGGCGGATTTCTGTTAGAAGGCAGCCTCATCTACAGAATGAGTTCAAGGGCAGCCAGGGCTACAGAGAAACCCTGTCTTGGGGGAAAAAATCAGCAGCTCCATTTTAGGGACTGCTTGGGTTCTATTTCCTTTTGTTTTATCTGAACCCTGTCATTTTTTTTTAAATCTCTTCATCTCCAGCTTGCTAAATCTTACCCCAGCTTTCCTAGGCACTCAGCCCTTTGGAGGGAGCCCTACCTGCTCAGGTCTGCAAGCTCCTGGGGGTGGAGCAATCCAGCCCCTTTAGAGGTGACAGAGAACTTTCTGTACTTGTTCACTGTTGGCCTCACCTCAGCCCAGCGCACCCTCCCCAAGCCCCCCTCTGCTTCCTTCCCACAGGGACTGACACTAATTTCATTGGAAAGGCTGCCCGTGAGACTCGGGTGTGACATCTCTGTTTCTGAGTAAGAGAGAAATGTTGCCACATCGCCCCTGCTTCTTCCGCCGCTCTCTGACGCCACGGTAGAGGTCAGAGGTCTTTACAACCGTTTCTAGAGAAAATTTCTTGCCGCAAAATGCCTTTGAAATATTTTAACATTTTCAGAAATAAAGCAGGTAGAGTAAGGATAAAAGCATCTTTCTGCTCACCTCAAAGAGTCTGAACAATTTGTACCTTATGTGATAGTCAGTCCCCAGGACCATGAAAAAGGCATTGGTGGCCACGGTGCTGATCATCAGGATCTGGAAGAAGGGACTCCTCACAACCTTCCTGATGTAAGCCTGGCACTCTGGATCCCTCCTCCTGTCAGGGATGGATGAGAGATGTGCTCAGCACAGGGCAGCTTGAGTCCCACTCAACTGCACCCTCTTGGGACTGAAGCGTTGTTCTCACACTACGAAGGGAAGTATACAGAGGCTCAAAAACAGAGTGCCCAGGGAGACACAGATGGTCAGAACAGCCTGTCCCCGCCAGGCCCCTCTCCCTGGACTCCTGAGAAACAGCGCTCACCACGTCACAGGCCAAGGGAACATCCTCTCCACTTAACTTCATGAATTGTCATCAGCCCACACAATAAATGCCAGGAACACAGTAGGAACATGCCTAAGTCCGTTTAGTGTCATAGGAAAAACTGGTAAGAAAGAAACACACACACACACACACACACCTTACAAATCTGTGGTAAAAAGTCAAACACCCTGAGAGAAAAGGCACACACAGCCAACTCATGACAGTTACAAATGGTGTCAGAGAGTTATAAAGTAACACCTTGATGTTTTGCTTACAAAATCATTCCCGGCAAAAGTGAGATGTGATGGGACACTCTTAAGGGACAGGGAAACCTACCCTGGATGGTTTTGATTTCAGCAAAACAAAACAAACAACAACAAAAAAAAAACTAGAACTGTCCATGTCCTCCCACCGAGACTCTAGCCCAGAAGAACACGCCCTGAAATACATGCAGTGATTCAGTGACTGTCGCTCCACATGTGCTCCCAGGACTGTTTACAGCGACCAGAACTTGAAAACAATCGGAGACCTAACAGAAAGGACCAGCTCCAGGCTGGTATCTCACTCATGAGTTCAATCCCCAGGACCCACGTGGTGGATCCCAAAAGTTGTCCTCTGACCTCCACACAGGTGTCAAGGCTCGTGTGTGCCCCACATGTAAAAACAAACAGATGATCTTTCAAAAGACTGGTCAAGTAAGTGTGGAACATCCTAAATACCAATCCTAAATAAAGTATATCTGTGCATTTCCTTGGAAATCTTGCATTTCTGGCTTGGAAAATCAATTACGATCTTGTGGAGAATAAGCAAAGACATGTCATCTCGAAAAAGATTTCATTCGTGCACAAACAGGACCAGGTGGGGAAAACTGAGCGGGAGCCATGGCCGTGTAAGGACAATGTCTGCTCTGAGCACTGAGGCCACTGGCATTCTCTTTCTTACTTATTTACATTGATCTGAGCTGTGAAAGTTTTCTTAAAAGTAATATGTTTTTCCTACTGTCTGTAACAAATTAATTCATTCTCTCACTGGTAAAATATATATATACCAAATTTGACTGTGTGCGGTGTCCTGCACCTTCGGTCCCAAGCATACTCAGGAAGTGGAGGCAGGAATATCATTTAAACCTGTGATGTGGCAAGGCCTTCATCTTAGGACACAGAGCACAGGGGAAGCCGAAGCACCTTCCGGCCTCTGTGTCACCACAGAAGCACTCAGGTGGTGGACACACATACATGCAGACACTCACATAAAACACACACAGTGAAAACAAACCAAAAACACCACCACCAACAACCCTTCTTCTGTCTAATACTAGCCAGGCGGTGGTGGAGCACTCCTTTAATCCCAGCACTTGGGAGGCAGAGGTAGGAGGATCTCCATGAGTTTGAGGCCAGCCTGCTCTACAGATCGAGTTCCAGGACAGCCAGGGCTACACAGAGAAGCCCTGTCTCAAAAAAACAAAACAAAACAACAACAACAAAAACCCAAAAAATTATCTATTAGAAAAACAGCACTGGTTCAAATTCAGACTCCAGGTGAACAGCAAATGTGCCACCCCCACCCTTAGTCCTCTCGCCACCCTCCAGAGAGACTTGTGTGTCTGAGCCGTGCTCTTCTACCTTGGGGTCCAGACAAGTCCCTGTGGAAGAGGCTAGGAGAGCTCTGGTGCCCTGTCCCCACGCTGCTTTCCCTTCCTAAGGAGGGAAAGGACACTCACTTAATTTTCTTGAATCTCGCATACACCACCTCTGATGCTGTGCCGAACAGCGAGCTAGAGACAGTTCTTACTGGGATGTGTAAGAACTCAGACATTTTCCAAATTGCTGTTTTGATTCCTCACTTTTATCACACGAGCAAAACTGTCTGCCTAAGGATTTCCTTGGCATCTGGGTTCTAAGAGGCAGCAGAGGGGCACCCTGGAGAGGATTCTCTGCTTTATGAGGTCACTCGTGGGCATTCCAGCAGTTCCTCAGTAGTGAGGGAGCCCTGAGTGTGGCCCACCCACTTGCAAGTCCCTCTTCTGAAGGTGGGGGGGTGTCTCAGAGAGAGCGAGAACCTACAACAGGGAGAGCAGGGCAACCTCAGACATGCGAGGGCCTTCCCGGTTCGTACCCCTCGTCTACCCCTCGGGCAGACAAAGTCCTTGAATAAAATGGTAAGACATGTTGAGCATCTTGTGAGACAAAGATTCACTTTTCTGAGTTTCTGAGGGACAGAACACATCCACAGCCAGCACCAGAGACACCCAGAAGGAAAGGAAGATTGTAACAGGTTAGGCAATGGACACAAAGCCCACGGAAGTCAGAACAGAGAAGGCAGAATCCCAGGGCTCACTATTTGGAGGCTTGTGATCTGACTACCGAAATTCCTTTCCTGAGGATAATATATACAGTGTCTAAGGTCCTAAGGACAAATCCAGGGAAGGTTGCACCAAAGTTCACTCCCGGGAATCAATGGGTCTCTCGGGCTTATCTATAGAGCACAGATAAAGGGTTACAAACAAGAGTGTGGGTGCTCTCTCTCAAAGGCCACACTGGAAAGTCTTGAAAGCAGGAATCATTGCTCTCCCATTGCTACATGAACGGAGGCACCCTCCTCTAACCCCCACCAGCCTGTATACAGTAGCCCTGCCACAAGCAATTAGGGCACGACTTCATAAACGTGTGGTATGGAATGTCTGGATACTCAGGTAAGGGTCCCGTGACCCGCCCCATCCTCCTTTCTAGGGATGCCAACGGTCAACAAACCCAGCTGGGAAGACCTCGCAAACCAGCACAGTTGAACTCCCAAAGATGCCAGTTGCTTGGTTCAAATGATAGTCATGAAACTTAGGGTGTGAAAAAAGAGCCCAAGAACCACAGATGTTTTTTAAGTGCAAGAGCTGCAGGGATTTAGCTCTGTTCAACCTTCAAAAGTAATTTTTTTTTTTTTTTGAGGCAAGACAGGACACAGATCTGGATTGCTGTTTAATAGTAAATGTTTTGTCACTGAGTTAGTCGATTTCCTGAAAACATAAGTTCTTGAGCTTTAAGAAGATGGGGTGGCCACCCCCCATTTCTGCTGTCCCTAACAGTCTTTGTTCTCTATTGTTTGCATCGTTAGATGTGGAACCGTGTAGGCTTTGATTTTATTTTTAATCCTACTTTATTTGGGGTTCCTTAAGCCTCTTACCTCCCTTCCAAACCCCCTCCAATCCTAGGTAGAAGAGAAGAAGGCCATTGGGACAGATGTAGACCTCTTTAGATGTAGTTCCTTGGGAGTAATTCCACTCTTCATCATCATCAGAATATCTAGCAGTCCAGCATTCCAGCGTTCCAGCAATCCAGCGTTCCAGCAAACCAGCAATCCAGCAATCCAGCAATCCAGCAATCCAGCAATGCAGCAATCCTGCAGTCCATCAGTCCAGGAATCCAGCAATAACAAAGGCAGCAACAAAGACCAGCAGCAACTACATGGGCAGCAACAGCCTCCTTGAAGCGTTTTCCAAAGCATTTCTCTCTAGGAGCATCTCGAAGCAAAGCCTTCTCTTTCTCTGGGCTCCCATTTATACCTTCTCAGAGTCCACACCAGGATGTTCTTCAGCTGGCAAACCCCACATACACACACATACACACGCACAAGGCAAGTTCCAGCTGACAAGGATCCCGCACCCTCTCACAGCATAACCAAAACTTCCACAACAGACCCCAACCTTGTGTGTTCAGCAAGCACTCCATCCCTGCCAGGCCTTAGTATTCTAAAACACATGTCCATATCTACTGCTGGAAGAAAATACTCACAAACATCTAGCACACTTAATTGGGAAATAGCATCTATACGCTGCCCAAAAGAAATACGTCCTGGTGATTATAATCAACAATATTATGTCGTATAATAAAAATAGAAGAGAGGACTCAAATCATGTGGCCACAAATGATAAGGGAGATGAAGATAGCACATGGCCCAAGCTGACAAATGCACAATATATACATGAGCCAGGTCTTGCACCGTGTCTTGTAAAGATAAAATGTTTAAAACTGGTTTTCTGGCACAGAGTCTGATGTAGCCCAGGCTGGTCCCAAACTTCATGGGTAGAAGACGTTCCCATGAACTCCTATCCTACCACCCCCACTCTTCCTCACTGCTGTGTGCTGGGATTGTAGGAGTTTACCACACACCTAGCTCCATCCCATTATCTGTGGATTAAACCATCACAAAAAACTTCTAGGAAGCATTTTGGTAACTGCCAGTAAAGAGATGCTCCTCACTCACCAGACCCGCACGACTAGAAGAGGTCAAGAGGGAGTGCAGGGGTCCAAGGAACTGCCAGGAGAGGACTTCACCACCTCCCACAGCACACACCACAAAGCCCAGGAACCAAGGCTTCCACTCTCCCCTCACCCACACGGTACCCTATGCAATCAGCGGAAGCCATGGTTCTCAACCTGTGGGTCTTCACTCCTTCCACAGGGGTCACCTAAGCCCTCTGGAAAACAGATATTTATGTCACCATTCATAAGCACTACCAAAATTCCAATTAGGAAGCATCAGCGGAAATAATTTTGCACTGAGGAGTCACCACTCCATGAGGAGCTGCAGCAGCAGGGCTAAGAGCCACTGCTCCAGAGCCAACGGGATCTGAGAACTTCTCCTTCCTCTGCTCAGCACATGGATGCCAGCCAGCCACCCTCTCAGCGTTCTAAGTTCCTCTTGTTGAATTTGTCTTTACAGAGATCTCTCACGATGGTCTTTGTGTGCTGCTGGTTAGGCTTTAGGACTGTGCTTTTATCTTCCCTCCAATTTGCTATCAGGGTTTCTCTGTGCAGCCCTGGCTGTCCTGGAATTCCCTCTGTAGACCAGGCTGGCCTCAATCAAAGATCTGCCTGCCTCTGTGCCCACAGCCCAGCAAGCATGCTTTCCCAGCCACGCGCTCCAAAGGCTCCTCTTCTAATTCTGTCTTTTGTCCTTTCCTCCTCCTCCTTTTTACTTCTTAATTGTAATATTTGTCAATGCAGAAACAGACCTCACCTTAGAAAGAAAACAAGAGATAATTTCTTATGGAGCCATTTTGTGTGACCATGACACAGGAACACAGACTAGGTTACCCCAAGTTTCATGTTCCCACCAAGTAGAACACGTATAAAGATGGCATGTGAAAACCCCATTCCTCTGGAGAGGTGGCTCGGTGGCTAAGAGTCCTTACAGTTCTTGCAGAAGACCTAGGTTTACTTCCCAGAATCCATGTTTGGTGGCTCACAACCATCGGTAACCCCAGTTTAAATGTACCCATTGCATTCCTGACTCTCTGAGCACCTGCATGCGTGCGGCACACAAAACTCAGGCCGGCACATACACGCAGATTAAAAATAAAGTTCTTAATGAAAGAAGGAGGTGAGCCCAAGATATAGAAGATGCCATCTTGTAAATGCAGACAAAAGCCAGCAAACAATAAGCAGGACATTGGAACTAATCTGAAACTACTTTAAAAGAAAATGGGGGGATGGTACGCTCCCCAACATATCAGGCTGCCTAGATGTAGGATCACCTAGGGGACGCAGCTCTGGATGTCTATGGGGCCTTTACAGAGGTTTTGACTGAGGAGGCCACCCTAAGTGCAGGCAACCCTGTCCCATAGGCCTCCTGATGGCAGCCACGACGAGACCCGTTTACACACCCGCTGCCACCTTCCCCTGCCACAATGGGCCTCGTCCTCAAAGCATGAGCCACAGCAAACCCTCCTCCTCCCTTTCACTGCCTTCTCTAGGACATTTATTCAGTGAGAAGATGACTAGGGCACTGGCTGACATGAAGCCGCCAGGAACTAGCTGGGAGAGCTTGGTCCCCAATCACGTGACTACACAGGTTCCTAGGTTCATTCGGTTAGTTCAGGCAGGAGCGGCAGGGGTGGGACAGTCGGGGGTTTTTTTGTGAAGTGAGGTTCTGATAAAGATGTTCTTTGTTAGAGACTAAGTCTGTGGACTCAGCCCACTGGTAACAACACAAAAGTTGTGAAAATATATAAATCTCAGTTCTTCCTCAGCTCCTGAAGTTCAGTAACGAGCAGGTGGACACCATGAAGACAGGGAGTCCTTGAACGGCCACATGTTACCAGAAGCCATGGATAATACACTTACCCTCCCCTGCCACCCCTTGCCTAACATGGAAAACATAACCAAGACAGGTCAGCCAATTTTTGAAACTTTTGTAATAAAATGAATCACTCAGGGGGCAAAGTGGCTAAACCCAAAACAAGTTCAGCTTTGTGAGAATCACTTCATAAACACATCTTCAGAATGAGGACACCCCTCCTACCATCCTCCTACTCTGTCTTCCAAAGTCCTGCTCTGCAGCTCCTGGCTGACAAAATGTAAACATTCCCCTATCCCCATTCTGGCCATTTGAGGGCTGGAGAGATGGCTCAGCGGTTAGTACCTGCTGCTCTGGGTCCTGCAGAGGACCCAGGTTCAGTTCCCAGCACCCACGTGGCAGCTCACAGCTATCCACAGCTCCAGTTCCAGGGTACTGGCCCTCTTCTGACCTCCACAGGCACCAGGCACGCACGTGCTGCACAGACGTACATGCAAGTAAAACCTCATACACATAAAATCAATCTAAAAACAAAATTCCAAGGTCTTCTCTAGGCCAGTCTGGACTCTCTGGAAAACAGAAAGCCAGCCTAGCTACATAGTGAGACCCTGTCTAGAAAAGAGTAAAATTGCATTTCTTTGAAAATAGTAATATAACAACCCAGGTTGGGTGTGGAAAGATTGCTCACAACTGCCGGTAACTGTAGCCCCAGGGGTATCCTGCACTTCCATACTCACATGCGCGTATTCACACAAAGACACGCACACACATTCTTTCTCTTTTCATTTTTTCTCTTTTTATTTTTGAGACAGGGTTTCTCTGTGTAGCGTTGGACTAGATTTGTAGACCAGGCTGGCCTCGAACTCACAGCAATCCGCCTGCCTCTGCCTCTCAAGCGCTGGGATTACAGGTGTGCGGCACCGTGCCCAGCTCCCGTTTTCAATTTTTACGTAATAACTCAGGTTGGTTAACCAGATATCTTTGACTAATGAAGAATAACTCAGGCTTGGGTTCAAATCATTCTGTACGTAAGCATCAATCACACAAAAATGTCAAAACAGACTAATTTTTGACTTAGTTTATTCACGTAAATGGCCTTGAAAAAGCACTGCAAGCCGGCTGTTGGATCTTTGCGCGCACTCTGAAAGAGATCACAGAGGAGCAGCAGCTTTCTCGATGAACTGGGCCAGCTTCACGTCACGCCTGCTCAGGCCTCCACAGTCATGTGAGGTGAGCGTTATCTGCACCTGTGAAGGGAAAAGCAGCCTTTCAGATCTGAGCAGAGACCTGTGGGATTTCTCCCCGGGAGCTTTAGAAATCAACCTTTTTCTCAACATTCATATCTGAAAACTGGGGGTTAGGGGATTTAGAAAGTACTACGGTATGAATAAAACACTGCGTTTCCCACACCCATAGAGCTTGGGGCACAGGCTACACCATAAAACACTGGGTTTCCCACACCCATAGAGCTTGGGGCACAGGCTATACCAGGCTGGGTGCAATAGCCACCCATGAAGGAGTGGCTCCCGGAGTGGGAGGGGAGTGAGCCAGCAGCTCAGAAAACCTTGCTTCTGGGGTGGGCAGGGGGGAAGCAGAGATGGAAGTTGCATTTTAACTTCCAGAACTGTAACTCCACCAACTCTGTCCAGGCCACCAGGAAAGGGCAAGCAGACCTAGCAGGCGGCAGGTGAGGGAGGTAGAAAAGCAGGTTACCAGATGGGGGCAAAGAGAAACCCACAGGAAGGAGAAGGTCTCCCTGGAACTGGTCTATTAGGAATTGTTTCTTTTTAAATCACAAAGCAGAATTCTCTGTTCTCAAAGATGACTTACAACCCCTCAGAGAAATCTGGACAGATACCTGGCTGATGAGACTGTAAAGGCAGGACACTCTTGGGGGTATGGCTCTTCTCGAGGCACCCCTTAAAACTTTCAGTCTGCCCTCTGCAGATCAAGACTTTAATAAACATTTACTACAAAGAGACAGTTTCTGAGATGTATTTCAGCAAGACACATATGGTCATTCTATCTGATTCTATTTGATTTTGGTTTTTCATTTTTGTTTTTGTTTTTTTTTAGACAGGGTTTCTCTGTGTAGCCTTGGCTGTCCTGGACTCACTTTGTAGACCAGGCCGGCCTCGAACTCACAGAGATTCGCCTGCCTCTGCCTCACCAAGTGCTGGGATTATAAGTGTGCACCATTGCACTGAGCTGCTAACACTCCTTTTAATAAATTATTTTTAAATTAAAACTCGGAGGTCTCGGGTAACTAAGCTGGCCATGGCAGCACATGCCTATAATCCCACAAAATGAGAGGCAGAGGAAGTGTTCATAGTGAGCTCCAGGCCAGCCAGGGTTACACAGGGAGACTGAAATAAACCCCTCCGAAGAAACAGCCCTCCACAAAAATACAAATAAAAATTTTATCTTCATGGCTGATATCCATGATTAACTTGGGAGCCTAATCTAGTCCCAATTTCTGGAAGACAAGCATAAAGAACCATAGTCCTGCTCTCATGTGACTGATGAACAAGAACACGTGGTGGGGAGGGGGGTCCGAGAGAATACCTTCTCAGCATCACATTTTATGTGCATTCATAAGGAAGCGTCTTCAATCCCAAAATACGGAGGCTCAGTTACCTTGTTGTACACGTTGAACCATTCTGGGTGGTGATTCATCCTCTCCGCTTGCAGGGCCACCCTGCACATAAAGCCGAAAGCCTGCAAAACACAAGTCCAGAGCGGTCACTGCCCTGCCCCTGGGCTCTGTGACTGGGAGACCCCAGTGCCACCCCACCAGATAAAGGCTCACTGGGCTGCTGAGAAGCCTCAGAAATGCCAAGGGAAGTGTTGCTCTGTGCAGCCGGGGCACCCGGGCGGCAGACTGCAAGGTGGGGGCCAACCCTGCTCAAATAAACCAACCAGGAATGAGTTTCCCCCAGTGACCTGTCTGGACCGCCTACACATCCTAGGACTCCCAGCTGCACAGGAACCATGTCCCTCCAGCCCCATGCCCCGGCTCTACCTGCCCCAATTTGCTCCTCCGCTCTTCCTTCTGGTTTTAGAGACAGGCTCCTCCGGCTGTCCAGACTGTGGAAAAAGGTACAGCCGTCCCAGCTCGCCCACCAGGGGAGGCCCACCTCTACTGCCATGCAGTACGAGCCGCTGGCTATGGCCCACCACGCTGGGGTGAGCGTGTGCCCAGCAGAAGGCACACCCGGCAACCATCCAAGAACCCCACTAACAAAGAACAACCCAGACAGCAGCGGCTCACACCAGGGGGGAAAAGCAGAGACCCAGCAGAAGGTCGCTGCCCTAAGGAAAACTTTTTTCTCTCCTGCTTCCTTTCATTTTTTTACAAAGGCGGCTGCAAACAACAACCCTATTTTGCAGGGCATGTGCAAGGCTCATGGGGCTGTGTGGAAGGGACCACCAAGCGTGCAAGAAGCTGAAGATGGATGGAGGGTTGCAGAACAGGGCCTACACTCAACACATCCGTGTGTTCATGAGTGCACAGCCACACGGCACCAGGCACACAGGGGGCCCGGCCTGTAAACTAAACTAACTTCTCCATTTTAAGAGAAGGAAAAGGGAAGGAAAAATCCATTTAGCTATGTACAGCCTTATTCGGAGCAAAAACAAATTTACCCCCTACCCTTTTTCATCCCAAATCTGACTCCCGGATCCAGTGCAGACCATAAGCAGCATAGGGAAGTCCGCTTTAATCATTCAGACGCACAATTTCCAGTGTCTACAGTGACTGATTTTTATTCAGTTGGCAGAAGCAGATGCTGATTGCCTGAGGAGACCCACGGTGTTAAGGCTAAGGACCTCCTGGCCTTTTGAACCTGGGAATCTGGATTCAAATTCTGACACTGTCAGGCGATGCCTCCTGAGTTCCAGGATTGAAGGTGTGCGCCTCTACTGCCCACGGATCATAGGGGACTTTTATTATCTCTATTTTACTGATCAGAACATTAGCCAGCACGATGGCTCCACAAGTAAAAGCACTTGTCACATAAGCCTGACAAGCTCAGAACTCATGGAACAAGGAAAGACCAACTCCCAAAGGTTGTCCTCTGACCATCTCGTGGGCCATGGTGCACACACCCACAACACACACACACACACATAATAATAATAATGGTAAGGAGGATTAATTTAATTTAAATTTAAAAGAAATTTAATTAGTTTAATTTAAAAGAAATCATTGCGAAGTCTAATAAACCACACAGGAGTCCTCCATAGGAAAAAGCATACAACTGGCTCCAAGGGCAAAGAAACAAACCCATCTGCCTCCTTCAGACCAGATCTCTTATACACCTAGTTCAGAGCTTACACACTTAAAATGTCTATAACACTACATTCAAGTTATAAGATCTACGACTGCAGGTGTTCAGATGAGTGGACAGCAGGGGAAAGGTGGACCTGCAGGGGACAGTGGCTACGGGGAATACACTGGAGGGCGGGGCAGCACCTCCGCAGGAGGGCACCCATGAGGGCCCTTTCAAAGGCTTTTCCCAGCCCTCACTATTGCTCACCAAGGCTCCAGCTGGAACCGACGGCCTTAAGTTACTAAGAGACTTTCTACAACCATCCTACCCAATAATGATGGCTGCAGCTCACAGCGGAGGAGACTCACCAACAAGCCGGGGTGACTAAAGCCATGGGCAGAATCAGCAAGCTGCAGAGGTGGCTCGGGGGAGCACTGCTGCTCTTGCAAAGAACCTGGGTTCAAGTCCCAGCATTCATGGCGGCTCACACCAACTCTAACTTCAGTCCCAGGGGATCCAACACCCTCTTCTGAACTCCTTGGGTACAAGGCACGCACATGGTGCACATGCAGGGAAAACATCCATGAACATTAAATAATAGATAGATAGATAGATAGATAGATAGATAGATAGATAGATAAGAAACCAACAAGAACTTAAAAGAATTAAAAACCTATATGAGACAAATAAAGGAGATTTGCATAAGCCTATTTGCCACAGCAAGAAAAAAAAGTTATAACTGAGCCAGGGGACAGCACAGCTCAAAGACGGAACACCGGTCCTTGGCCTGTATTTGATCTCCAGAATTGAAAGGAAAAACAGTTGTAAGAAACATCTCAGAGACAGCTGGTGAGATGGCTCTGAGTTCTATCCCCAGAACCCATGCAGAAGTGGAAGGGAAAATCCATCCTACAAAGTTATTGTCTGTTCTCCACACCCATGCACACACACGCACACATTCACACAGAACATGTACTCACACACAAGTGCACACACACCACATACACCACATATACATATACCACACACGAACACACATGCACTCACATGCACACACAAGACTGCACACACATGCATGCACACACATACAATAATATAAGAATGCAACCATGTTACATCTCTTAGCAAACTTATTAATAAAGTTAAGTTGATAAACTAAAACTTTTAAAACTTCTTTTGTCATTTAGTAAGAAAAGTCCACTTATAAGGATGAAAAGAAATCTGTTGACTTCAACACTGGAAGTCAGAGAGGCAATAGCAAAGACTTTAGGAAATGAACATGAAAACAAAGGTTGAAAAAGAAAATAAAGAATTTTACACCCAGCTCAACTATTTTCCAAAAAATAAAAGCAGTAGCTTGATGTGGTGGCCCAAGCCTTTCATCCCAGTGCTCAGGAGACAGAGGCAGGCAGATTGCTATGAGCTCCAGGACAGCTGAGATAACATAGTGAAACCCAGTCTCAAAATAAACACACAAACAAACAAACAAACAAACAAACAAAAGCAGTGGACTGGCATTTCAGAAATGCATTAACTCAAGCGAGCGAGACGGTGCCATGGGTAAAGGTCCTCACAAGCCTGGCAGCAGAGTCACGCCCTGGAAACCACAGGGAACCGAAGGAGAGAATGGGGGCTCCATGGCTGTCCTTGGAACTTCACGTTCACACTGTGTCCTGCATACACACGTGCACAGACTCACACACACATTCACACATTTGTTTAAATTTGTTTAGGCAGGAAAAGAAGTGCAACAACTCACAGCATCCATCCGTCCTTCTTCAGAAACTTCTAAAAAAAAATGGAATTATGACCAATAGCTGAGTGGAAAACTATTGTTGAAGGTGCTGGTGGTGAAAATAAGCTCCTTAAGTTCCAGGAATCTGCTCAGCACAACTACAGCAGGTAAGGAGCCAGAAGCAGATGGAATCAGCTACTAACTGTGACCAGCTAGAAAAGAGAAGGAAATGGGCAGTTAAGAGCACTGGCTGCTCTTCCAGAGGTCCTGGGTTCAATTCCCAGCAACCACATGCTGGCTCACAACCATCTATGCTGGGATCTGATACCCTTTTCTGGTGTGCAGGTGCAGAAGACAGAGCACTCATACATATAAAATAAATAAACAAATCTTTAGGGGGGGGGGCGGACCCAGGCAGATGGGAAGCTGAGGGCAAGGGCTAGGAACCCTTGAAGGAGCAGGATAGGGCGCTGGAGCTGGGATCGCGTGGAGCTGCTCAGGGAGGGGGCAGAAGGTAGAAGCTGAGCTCAGATGTGGGTTGGTAGAAATGTGCTAAGAGGACAGGGGCCACATCTGTCAGGAAGAGTATGTGGTAGGAACCTCAAGACTGAAAGTAAGATGTAGACATCCCCAACTAGGAGAAACACAACTAAAATGAAACTTGAAAGCACACCAAAATATCACATTTAAACAGCATTGCTCTGCACCATTTATGGTAAGCAGGCACTGCTTTTGTCATGTTTTACAAAACCAAACAATGAATGCACACTGCCTAGATCCAAGCAACTAAGAAAGCCAAGTAAGTCCCTCTGCAATGAAGAGTAAGCCTGAGCTCTCCACGCTGCACAAACAGCCTCAAAATCAGAGCAGAGAGAACAGGGAAACACAGGTGGGAGGGTTTTCCGTAATGAGCAGGAGGGAGATGGGCGCTCAGCGCTTTAGGGCACTCATGCCCTTACACAGGACCTGCGACAGATGCCCAGCACAACTGCCCGGAACCCCAACTCCAAGGGATCCGACACCCACCTGACCTCCACAGGCATCGCAGGATGCATATGCATGCATGCTGATGGGTGAATGCCTGCACACTGAGGGCACAGCCATGCACACTGACAGGCACATGCTTGCATGCTGATGGCGCATATATGCACAGTGACAGGCACAGCCATGCATGCTGACAGGCACATGCATGCATACTGATGGGCACATACAAATAAAAATACCTTTTAAGATGCTGTAGGAGTGGAGGGAACTGAGGGTTCCTTCTCTGTTGTTTACAATAAATAATCCCCCTTCTAAGAGTTTATAGTTAGATCGGCTCGAGAGACAGCTCAGTGGGTGAGAATGCTGGCTGCTCTTCTGGAGGACCCGGGTTGGATTCCCGGCTCACAAGTGTCTGTAACTCCAGTCCCTGGGGAGCCAGCATCCTCTTCTGGTACCACCTCAAGCACCAGGCACACAGTCAGTGCTCAGCCATACCCCCAGACAAAACACTCACACACGTTACACACATAAATAAATGATAACATTTTAAACATAGACAAAGGGAAAGGAGGGAACAGACTGATATAAAAGAAATGCTCATGTATAAAAGTCTAAGAGAAAAAACAGGTGTTCCTAACTATCTCCACCACATCTGTGAGCAGCGTGGTAGCACACACCTGCACTCAAACACGGACAAGGCCAAACCAGGAGGCTCCCAAGCTCGACAA